ATCTGTGAGTTAGCCATGCCCTGACTTAGATCAGCCCAGAGGTTGTTTCAGGGTTTGATCTGTGAGTTAGCCATGCCCTGACTTAGATCAGCCAAGAGGTTTTTCAGGGTTCGATCTGGTCAACCATGCTCTCAATAGGTAAGAATTAATACATGAACTTTGCCGTAGTCGCGCTACACCAAATGCTGGATACTATAAGCAATATTCGAATTACTTCAATAAAAGATGTTATTATTATAACAAGCACTAAAATCATGGCCGGTTACCTCTTCCAATCTTGACTGCCTTGCATCCACAATAGGAGTGCTAGAGCCGTCAGAATTGACTTTCTCGAGTAAGGAAGGGTTATAGGACCAGCTGTAACAAAAAATTAATATATATATATATATACAACTCGGAAACAATATCAGGGATAATATCCTATAATCCCATGTAAAGAGGGCCAAAAACGATGACAAAAACTTGACTTCTTGAGGATGAAACCTTTGGGCTTTTTATAATCTTTTATGAAGTAACCTTCTTACATGGCTTATCTTTTAGGTATAAAAATATATGAAAATATAAGCATGCATGTACGTACGAATTTCCATCCGGGAACTTGACTTTGATGACATGAAGAAACTTCCCCAAAACTTCCCCAACTTTTCCAAGGTGCTGTAAAACGGGTTAAATTGAAAAAGAATTTTTAAAAATTCTTTATGGTGTTCAAAATACATTTATCATGCTCAGATCGGGACACGGGATAAAATTCACGCAAAAACACTGACGTTTGTTTCTTAACTTTAATTTAGCCTGCATATCAGGCCGTCCTCAACCTCCTTGAGGCGCCATACAAGACTGAGCTATTACTGACACACTCTTCTCTGACACACAGATTATGGATTTCTAGCACATGAAGAGAATTTTGCAGTGCAATGCCGTCTCACCTTTCTCATAGAATCTGTCCAACCACCATACTCTTTTTGAAGGAGTTTTGCCCTCTCAATGTCACTTTCAACGCGGACTTTGTCTCCCTTTTTGAGCTACGAAAAAACAACATCTGATTGAATATACAATTTTGCAATAATAATTGATAATAGTTTGTATTATAGTATAGACGTGATTTCCATACTCACTCCTCCAGGTAATTCTTTGTCGTCTCCTCCTCCTTCTCCTAGTGCCTGTAGTAACAGCATTTCCAAGAGTGGCATCCTGCCACCTCCTAACAAGTCTTCTTGAGCATTGTCTTCTTCGCTGGGCCTTCCCTTTTCCTAGATTAGTAACGAAATATGATATTTAAGGAAAATCAGCTTTGTTAGTAGTTCAACCATCCTGAAGRAAAAAAAATATTTCGAAAATTGAAAACATAGGATGCTCTTCGCTCTAATGTGCCCGGAAAGGATGCACAGATTTGTATCAATATTTTGTGACGGCATGTTTCAAAGCACAGCTGAACGTACCTCTAACATTTGAGCAGCAGCCTGCCTCAGCAAKAGGTAGCCAATGCCCCCCTCTTCCGAGTCGTCACTAGCTTCATCYTTAGGTAGATCTTCTCCTGCAGCTTGTGCTCCTGTGATCTCGGTGGGAGGAGTGGGTGGGGGAGGAAGACGGTCCTTAAGTTTATCTGGAAGGATTACAAACATGTTTCAAAAAAGTGGGAATGAATAATACCAACTATGAGGGATTGTCAGGAGTTACTTGATCCACCTTGAAGTCAGAATAGGCACTTTCGAATTTATATTTTTGATATCCTCTTTCTTTGTTCAATGGAAAGTATTTAACAAAATTCAAATTAAACGTAGTAACTCGAGTACATAGCTCCCAAATAGACCTACCGAAAATATTGTTCAGTGTGGTGCTAACTTCTTGAATTTTCATACGATCTTCTTTCTTAGCCATCACCATTTTTCTGATAACTTCTTTTACTTCTTTCATGTCTTTACTCTCGCTAGGCTTTATCTCAACAGGTTTTGGTGGAGCAGATCCTGTTTTCAGCGCCTGCGCTATCGCCATTCCTAATGGCATCATCAGAAAGCCAGACCCAAGCACTGAAAACAAAATAAGTAAATGATATAAAATGTTTTTTGTTGTTCACGTGCGATTTATCTCATCGAATAAACGTATCGATACGATTAATAGTCAGTACTGTAGACTAAGATCCAGCTACAATCGTACAATCGCTACAATCGCTACAATCGTACTCAGTTGAAATATGCCAGACTATGTGACGGGGCTTGTTTGGATAAAACACCTACTCACCAGTCCTGTGAAACACTGAGCCTGCGAAGCAGTCCACTGAAAGGAACCAGGGAGGAGGGCCTTTCCTTTTCTATATCTTCTGCCCCTCCCTCTCTCCACTTCACCACAAAGACCGCTAAGCAGGCTAGCTTACTGAGTTGGAACCTACCCGGGAAAATGTCGCCGATCTTATCATAGTTAAGCATGCCTAAATACACCAAACCAAGCGCAAACACATCGACAGAGGATGTATACTTCTGCTCCATAAAGATTTCTGGGGCCATGAATACCGGTGTTCCTCCAAGGGTCGACATCATGTACGTTTTTGCCATGTCTGCCTTGTCTTCGGCAACTTTGCTTAAGCCAAAGTCAGTCACTAAAAATAGAAACACGCACTGATAATAATATGTATCCAAATAAAGTACTGAGACTCAATGCTATGTATATGAGAATATATATAAACTATATAATTTTACTGCAGTTGTAATGTATCAAATTGAGCTGATCCTAGTATATCAATACTATATTGTGGTTGGCTTTGAACGAGAGGCTCTGGGTTCTAGTTACGAGGGCCATCATGACGTAATAGTTAATTGGGCTGCCTGTAAGTCTAACAAGAAGAAACATGCGCATACGCCACAGGAAATTACCTTTAATGACTGGTCTGTTGCCCGTATAATGCAACATGAGGTTAGCTGGCTTCAAGTCTCTGTGTATAATCGGAACAGGCAGCCCATGCAAGTGACGGATGGCACTAGCTGCCTGTTGCATGAATTCTACCTTGGTTACAAAGTCTATGGGCTTGTACTTGTCAAAGTACTGCTTTAGATCGCCAAAGTTGCAAAACTCCATCACCATCCAGAAAGAATTGGCTTGGAAGTGGAAGTCGAAAAACTTGACTATGTGGGGGTGGRACGGGAGTTTCTGAAAACAGAAAATACTTGTGAATAGACAATTAAAACAAAAGATGTGGAGATTGAACGAAAGRATAKAAAAAAATTCACTTTTTCTCCCTGRATTTAATTAGCCCAGAGGTTGTTCCAGGGTACCGAACAAGTTTTTWAAAATTCACCTGCAAGTTCTTGATTTCTGTCATTGCATCACTTCCWACTTTGTCAGCCCCGSCCTTATCGTCCTTMTTCAGCTCCATTTGCTTTACAGCCACCTTTATGCCTCGCCGTGCGTCCGTCCCTTTCAAATRAATCAAAATTCCATCTAAACCTCTGAATACCAATACAGGGCGTTTGAAAAAGATCGTATCGGGATTGAAGGCATTGCAATCTCGTCAAAGTATTTCCAAGAGGTCATACACATCTGTCCCCGTTCATGGTGTATTGGGTTTTTTCCCCATGGGGTTTTCCTAAATATTCTGCAATCGGTAGGATAGGTCTTTCCCCTCAACTTTAAAAGATTAAGCTAAGACCGATGGACATCACGTACCTCGAAACACGATTCCAAACATTCCCTGTCCTAACTTGTCAAGCAAATTGACTTTGTAGTGACCCAGAACGACAATTGCGGCTGCCATGGCCAAGGTACAGTACTGGAAGAAAGTTTACAAAAATATAATCATAAACACGCAAGGCAAAATGAGATTCACCTTCCCTTGAAACAGGCGATTTGCAATCATTCACTAGGGTCGATGTTAGAAAAGCCAGTATTCAGTATAACACTATGCATCTGTCTATCCGGTTGTTTACCAGACTGTACATACATTAGGCTTTGATAGATTATTCAATATATTATTAGAAAACGTCGCTCTCGTCTGTAAAATTTTAAACGATTTGATTGGATACGATCATTTTTTAGTCATAACACGGAAATGTTCGCTAAACATAAGTACTAGTATTTATCTTGCAGCATCGATAATTATTGAACTTATTTGAATTTATTCTTTCGATTTTACCGTTTCTGTCTCTCCTCTCCTGAAAGAAACCCAGTAACTATCATTCGAAAGAAAACTATATATCTATCTTTCTGTGTATTCGAGAGAGGGTGAAATGAGGAAGCACAAGATTACGGTTTCTCGATTTCTCGTAAAACGCTTTGGTACTTAGAGTCGCTACAATGTTTAGTTTAGTGATATCCAATATGATTCTAGGCTGATAAAATAGGTTTTTGCGAAATATAAATTAGGAGTTTCGTTAAAACTCAACACAAATAGAATCACAGAAAAATCAGTAACAACCTTTCCATTTCAAATAACAAATTTCCAAAGAAAGACAATCGGTTTACTGTGTAAATAAAGCAGGTAGTTTCGAAGTATTTATTTGCTAGAAAGTCAACAGTTTGCTAGAAAGTCAAAAACACGAAAAAAGTTTCAGTCTTTATGACTCATTTCTCAAAATGCACCCGACACCTTTTTGAGCCATGAAGTTCGTAAACGAAGGACTAGCGTCCGAAACGTCAGTAAGTACCTTATCATCACTGTTACACTAGCTAGTAACCCCGACGCAGCTCACACTAGTTTTTACCTAGTTAACTCTTCAAGTAGAGCTAGAACAAGAGCATGGCTATCAACATTACGTTGATGCTTACCTTTCTACAGATTTCGAGATTATATATAAATGAACCTTCTAACGTCCACTGCAAAGCGCTGGAGATCGAAAAAGATCGAAAAATATTGTAAACCACTCCCTCTGCAATAGAATTGCGCAAACAACGAAGAAGCAGCTTTCTTGGAAAAACTTACTTCCTTGTGAGTGAATTCCGAGAATTGGAACGCGCATCGAGACGAGGCTGAAAAAACATTGTGTGACAGACTTGTGGCTAGAATATCAAGAAAGGTTATCGGAAATGGATCAATGAGTGCGCAGTCGAGTGAATACTGTCTAGATAGTGAATAGTTATGCAGTCCTAGTTAGGGCATATACTAATGATGATAATACAAATGATTGTTATATCGGATTGGACTTATTGAGAGATCAGTTTACTTGCGAAGTAGTGCATTGTAAAA